GGACAAATGACTTGTAAAAAAAACCCCATTAATCTTCAAATTAAGTTCTAAGTTATAATCAGCATGGATGTAAACTAATTATATTGCACGAGTATGTAACGAGATGAGGATATATGTCAAATACAATTGCAATCGTACGTAATTGATCATGAATTTGCTTGTTCCTCTTCTATTACCACAACTAACCATGTTTACCGTTCCCATGAACTTCACTTTTTTGATTCCTCCACCCATTGAGGTCTTGGTCTCCCCCAGACTGTTTCGTCTCATCCACATTGCGTTCAACCAACCACACTGCAGGTCAAATCACTAATTTCTCCTTCCTGTTCAACTTTGGAATTTCCTCCCATCGTCTCTTTTCCCAAGCATGTATAACCCCCCCTCAAATTAACAAACGTGTTAACTCTTAACTTTTACTACCACAACAACACTTTGATAGTGAGTGATGTTTGTTGCTGACCGCTTGACATTTCTTGTGCTCAGAAACGGTTTAAAATAATTAGATAGTATAAATCACACACATATGTTTGCCATCAGGACTAATTAAAAACTTTGCCACGGAGAAAAGAGAAATATTATCTCGATCGGGTGCTGTTGTGAAAAGACAATCCTTGAAACTCATGAGCGGGTGGCTCATTGGCTCCATTGAAAATTACATCAGTTCAGCCACTAGGTGGTCACTCTGCATCATAGAGTCATTAGTTATACCGTGTATGCTGTATTGTAGTGTTCTCCGAGATGTGAATATTTACCAAAATCCAACAACCCATAAATGGTTCAACAATTTCGATAAGAATTAAAAATCTATGTTTCCTAATATTTTCATCTTAAACATTGACCTCTGTAAAACACACTTCGACTGAGGGTTAAATACAGGAACAATATGGCAATGTATTACAGTAACTAGACCTCTGCGAGGCCCCGTTGCTTAGCTGTGGTCTCATCTATATCACTATTGATGTTCATAGTAGAACATTTATCAGCGTGACTCTTTAGTGAGCCTTCATAAAGGTGAAGCTTGCCCATGCCTCCACTGTGTGTCCGAATGTGTCTCTTGAATGGCCGTTGGCCAGACTTGCAACCTTTTCCACAGAACAAACACGGACACATGTCTCAGCTTGGATCTATCAAAACCGTGCATTGCAGTGTAACCAAGTTCAACACGATACCGGTACCAGATTTTGGTACAAATCATTTCCTGCCACATGCCACAGATTCCAATTCCTGGACTGTCCTGGTCAAACGCAGACAGGTGGCCCTGCCATTGGATGAAAAACATCGCAGGAATTAACCTTACCAAGTTAGTCCTTATAAAGAAAATGTGTTGATAAGCTTTTCGAAAGCAACATCAGATATAGGTGTTTTTTTTAATATGTACTGTATCTTTATATAATACCCTTATCTGGGAAAGTCAACATGAGAAGGTCTTAAGGCCAAATTATGGTCAGACGTCGACTACTTCAACCGTACCTCTGCCACAATCGCATGTGAAGGCAAGTGGAAACCAATGTTTTGAGAATTAAGACGTAAGACGTAAAGAAAATTCAGAACATAGTTTTGGACAGGCAAAGTAGCTACGTGCACAGGTGTTCAGTGGATTATTTACCCTGCAGCATCATGACAGCTTGGCAAGCACCTTCATCCAGCAGTGGCTTGACCAAGGCTCATGATAACCACGAAGACAGTGGCTACTTGAGTTTCGTATGACCCCCCCACACGAAATGTGCCCTAGGGTCACGCGAGCTGGTACGAGCGTTGCTCTGTATAGCAGTGCTGGGAGAAGCAGCCGAGGAAGGCAGCAAGAGCGCGATGGCCTTGCCATTGGAATTAGAAGCCTGCTGTCGGGCCCATTTTGAGCCGATGGTGACAAGTCTCCTGGGGTTGGTGGGGTTGAAAGTTCTATTTCTGGCCAGAATCACGTCAGGCAGGAGAGATTTTGAACCGAGACCGCTGCTGGTGGCCATGGAGCCATGTTCCGTATTCTACAGGGAGCCTTTTTCCATCGTGAACCTTACCTGAGTTGTTCTTCTTTTGCAGATGTCTCAGACTTTAATTTAAATTGGAAGCATTGACTTACCTTTGCTCTAAAACCTCCCTAAAGGTGATACGTGCTGCTGTTACGTCACATATACAAATTAGGTTCATCCATTGGGATTTTAAGTGGGGTGTTTGGTAAGTGAGGGAAGAGGTGAAAAATAATAAAAGTAAAATAATAATGAATGAGAATAAATCAATCAAAATAACTGTAGTGCTACAATAATTTTGCTGTGCCTTTTTACACCTGATGAAGGAAGCTTGTGTTGCCTCCGAAACGTCGTGATTTAATTGATTTATTTTCATTTATTATTATTTTACTTTTATTATTTTTTACCTACGTGACTTTACCTAAAAACCTAAGAGCATGAATCCTTGCAGTCACGAAAGCTTCAAATCTAGAAATAAGAGGTGAAAAGCCTGGCGATTATGGAAATGTGGTATTTTACTGCCAGTCCACACAAATGTGTGTATCTGCCATCAGGAAAATAATACCTCATACTTTCCGGAGTTGCTCTGAACATTTTAAAATGCCATGGTCAAATTGGTTAATTGTAAAGTGAAACAAAGACCACGAACCCATTAATTATATCATATGTAAGGGGTTGCAAATATGGTCCTGTGACGTCACCTAAGCCCCCACATTCATCATTTAAACATTAACTGCAAACAAATGTCACAACATCTTGCCTGTTTTCTCGTAACTAGCCACTCAGGTAGCTTATGCCAAATAAGCATTAGGTCTCAGTGGGTTCTCAAAAAAACAATGCACAACATCCTATGTATAGACTATTGTTTGGAAAGACAATAATTTAGAACTCTCAATATTACGTGAGGGCTTGATGGGATATGAGGTCCTGGGTCAGTCGTGAATTAACTGTGCATTGTGGTATTATGGGAAAATAAGTAAAATTATGGAAAAATAGGTTGAAATATTAGTCACACACTATTACATCACCTTCAAAAATAATGGAAGTGGTGTAATGCAGCTTTTTTATATATAATATTTACATCACCATAAATTAAACCATTTTACAAATAGACTATTGCATTAATATTCTGAACATTGACTTTAAACAAGACTGCTCATAATGTAGCAACGGTTGGATTCTATATGCCACACTCTCGCTTGACAACAGAATTGTGGCAGCATGCTGACTACGGAAGCAACCAACCTCCTGCACTTGAATTCTAAGTACTGTATTTAGAAGCTGCTGGGGTTAGATGTGAAGTTGTTGGATGCATTGTGATTACAGATACATATTTGTTGTATCAGTGAACATTTGAACAGTGATTTGCCTGTGCCTGCACACAAATAGATTGCTTGCAGGTGGGGCTGTGGCTATGCCTGCAGTACTAATGGGACGAGACAAGAATTGAAGGAGGTCAGACGAATGAATGGATGCACATTTGTGAAAGGGTTGGGGTTAGTAGTTGGCGTAGACAGTTACATAATATGAACTAGAGTGACAATAGAAACATGTGCTTAATGTTGAAACACATTTTTCTGTGCCAACAACACAAGCCAACTCTGTCCTAATTAGGGTGTACGTTGCAAAATGTATGGCTGCTATTTTCCCAGGGTTTCTTTAATTACATGTACTTGTGACTCTTGTCATGTGTTGCACATTAGTTTTTGGTAAATAACCAATTATGAAACGAGTAGGCATTCTTTGCATAAATCGGAATGAAATATCGTTTGAACTTCATGCCATTTTTTTTACAATTATCACCTGTTTAATTTAACGTTGCAGTTCAATTTCAATGAGCATTGCAATTCTGTATTGTCCAATGCGGATACCTAAAATATACGCAAGATGCTATTATTTAAAATTATTTTTGCGTTAATTTTGAGAAAGCAGCTATGTGGCAAGAGCAATGAAGTTTAATTACATAATGTCCTGTGTAGTTTAAAATTATGAAGACTGAGGTCATAGCATATGTTTAAACTACATACATATCCTGTTATTATGCATTTTCTGGTTGAATCAGAAAACGAGCAGGTCGAATAATGGCATTTAATGAAAACAAATATATATCGAGGAAGTCGATACAAATTTCACCAAACTGCATTTTTGCCCGGTTTTAAGCACACGAGGCAATTTTGAAGTTACACACATTTCTTGTGTGCAGTATCAGGTGTGTGAAATGTGATGAAAGCTGGCACCGGAAGGCAGCCTGTGCGGGAGGCTCTTTTCATATAAAATCTCTCTTTTGGATCTATCCATGCAAAGATGCCATAATATTACAAGCATCTGTGAAGCCTGGCAGATGACGGATACATTTTTTACATATTGTTGCACTGCGTTCATATATATATATCTCAACAGACATTTCTAGAGAAGTGTTAACAAAAAATTCCAGGGGCCTTGGCGGTTCCCTAAAATTCGCACCCAAAGCCTCAACCACTTACTTGCGCAGCCACCGAACATTGATATATTCATGACTGAGCAAGTCAATTCACACCGGTTTCGCTCGCAAGACAATCAGATGCTTCTTCAAACGGTGCTCTCCACCCTGCTAACAAACATTTACTGCCCCCCCACCCACTCACCCACTCACCCGCCGGTCACATTCCTATTAAAATAAGTGACAATGGCAGCTTCAACTTAATTAAAGCTGCTGTGAAACGTTACGGTGAGTGGTCCTTAATTGCTGGGGCACGCACAGCACGTTAACCGTGCATGATTAATCTCCGAAGCGGGCTTGTCCGTGACCGTGGCTGAGAGGGTGGACAGAGAGGGTGAGGGAGGGGACGTGGGGCTGTACAAGTGGAAGTGTAGTAAGCAACAACAACAAAAAGCCCTGCTACCCACTACCACCACCACCCACCCACGTCTTAACTCGCCTTCGCCCTTCCCCTTGACCTAGCCTCCGTCTCTCAGCATCCTCCCCCACCCCCCACTGGCACGGCTACCCCACGGCTTTCTCCCATCAATCGCTCGGGCAGTTCGGACAGCAAACTCTCGGTGCCGGCTTGCTTGCAACAACCACCACCACCACCCCCACTCTGGACTCTTTGCGCTCTCCGTCCCATCCATCGTGGGCTCAGTGGGGGAGGAGGGGGGGGGGTCTTGCCTTGTCCACCACAAGCTCTGCTCGTGTTTGTCTCTCCGTGTCAGTGGCAACTTCGGCTGAGCCGTCATCGTTCATCTCCGACGCCTCCTCCCGCGTGCAATTAATTTTTACGCAAAAACGCGCACGTACGCGCGCGCGTTTTACATTACTACGAATACGTAATAATTGTGATAATAATAATTATAAAAGACAATAACAGCTAGTACGTGTTCGTCGCCTGGCTCGCTGGCTGAGTGGGGTGGAGGGGGGGGTGGTGCTTGTAGTTTTGGATGCCAGAGGAGCTGGGAGAAGAGGAGAAATCAAGAGCGCAGCGCACTTAAAAACCTGCCCGGCTCCGCAAACACGCGCGTGTGGGACCTGCGCACTCCTCCGTGCGTTCCCTCTCGTCCCTGGGAGCAAGACGCCGACTCCAGCACACACACAGACACACACACACAGACAGACAGATAGACAGACAGACACACACAGACAGGCAGCCCTCCAACCCCTCCGCCCGACCACTCGTCTCCTTCTCGGCCCGTAGGCGCGCTTCTCTGCACCCCTTGAACATTATGTACGCCGGACGTAAGAGGAGAAAGCCTGTCCAACGAAGGTACGGTGGTGGGTTTGGGTTATCATCATCATCACCATCACCGTCGTCGTCGTCATCGTCATCATCATCCCAGTTCACTTTCGAATGCACAACACTTCGTTATCCTCGCAGCGTTTCACGCAATGGAATGTGACGGCTCGCGTTGCACACGCGTACACACACGCGCGCACATGCACACACACATGTACACACACGCACATGTACACACACGCACATGTACACACACATGCACATGTACACACACATGTACACACACGCACATGTACACACACGCACATGTACACACGCGCACATGTACACACACATGTACATGCACTCACACACATGCACATGTACACACATGCACATGTACACACACATGTACACACACGCACATGTACACACGCGCACATGTACTCACACATGCACACACACGCACATGTACACACACGCACATGTACACACGCACATGTACACACGCACATGTACACACACATGCACACACACACACGCACATGTACACACACACATGTACACACACATGCACACACACACATGTACACACACGCACATGTACACACGCACATGTACACACACATGTACACACACGCACATGTACACACGCGCGCACTTAACATACGTGGTGATTTAACATGCATGCGATGTGCCGTGCCCGTAATAGATTCAGCTGTGCGTGTTTTAACATGAGCGGAGCCTCCTCCTCCTCCTGCTGCTGTTGTTGTTGTTTACTTTACAGCACTTGCTGCTGTTGTTGTTTACTTTACAGCACTTGCTGTTGTTTACTTTACAGCACGTGCTGTTGTTAGTCTCACGTGCTGTTTGTTGCAATCTCGAGGTGCCATGCGTGGCAGCAGCAGCACCTTCAGCCGACGCCGCGTGGCCGACGTTTCGGTGACGGTGTCTCGTCGAGGTGGCTCGGTGCATTGTTGATATCGCTGCTGTTGCAGTGCAGTAAGGAGCGTGATATGGTCACGCTATGAGAACAGGGCTCTCGTTGTAGGTATTGGATTGCAAAAATACATTGACCGCTCGCTCCTAGGCAGGAAAGCTATTTCCATGCGCCGTTATATTTGTACGCGCAAATAACTTGAACGTATTGTTTGCTCAAATTGTATTGCAATCTTGTTTTAGGCATAGCGTCAAACATTTGAAATGCAGTATGTAAACACGCGAAACACTGATTGCACATGTGCATTTATATTCATACAATGCATACATCATGCACTTGTGCAATGCGGTCAATATGCGAATATAATAATTGTTGAAACAGTACGTGACATGTTTGGCTCATTAACAAATGGTTGTTGCATCATCTAAACGATTATACATCTATTCACATGATCCACAAATGTGTAGAGTTTACATATACTGCTGCTGGTTAGCAATCACGACTTGGTGAACAGTCGAATGAGGGCCACCTCAGCCCTAAAGGTTGGTTTTCTGCAGGTTGATACACCAACGCCATGTGAAACGTTCCCAATCGCGGTCATGCTCACCACATTCGGCACATTTATCCCTAATCATTGACCACGGTTCCAAGTAGCACAAACATTGTGATGCTGCGTTGGCAGCGGTGTCACAAGCACATTTTTAAAGAACTCAACATGAGTAAATATAACATAATCGGCAACGTTTTGAGCAATGACCTGTTATGAAGCGTATATATTTTCACCCAATTTGTATTGTGTCTCATTGAGGATATATTTATATCTGCTTTTTTGTACAATGTAGGCCGCCCATGGGAATGTGGAATTTCCACCTCATTGGCTCAGATCCATTAGTGATAATGAACACTGCCCCGTTGGTTTAAGTAAGCAGGCACTTTGATTTGACCTTTGGTATGTTTTTATGTGAGGAATGGGTTAGTTTTTTTATGGAGACACCTTTGACAATCAATAATATGTGAGGTTTTTTAAAAAAATGGTTTTGCAAAAAAACTTTCTCATGAGGTCATGGAATGGAATATACAAAAGTTAGCAGCTACATAGATTATGTTGTACTGTCAATAACATTAACCTATTATCGGTACCGGCTTATATGTGAGGAGTGGTAGCTCATTTATATCTCTACATTTTATCCTTGGTCAAATGAAATATTTTTTAAAATATGTTTTTATTAAAACTCGGTGTTATAAGGGATTTTACTTGGGTTATTTAACTAAAATCGTATTGAGTGTGTGGGGGATTTAATCAGCATGCCCAGACAAATAAAAACAATCCATACAGATAGGTCAAAACTCTACTTTGTGTGGCCTTCAATAGGCCACATCATATGTCCACTGGCCACAGTGTACATAGTTAATTATTTACATTTGTAGAGATATCAATTCAACGAAGTTTAGAGATATGCTTGCTCGCAATTACACAAATGAAGAGATGCTTTAGGGAACAAACACAAGTCAGATACATCATCTTGAGAAATAAGAAAAGTGAATAAGCTTGGGCAGAACGCACCACTAGATGGGATAATGGCCGATGTACGAGCCAAAGGAGAAAACGTGCCCAAGAGGAAGACCGCTATGGAGATGGAGCTATGAGATCAGTTCATGTGCAAGAAGATGGATGGTAAAATAATTAGATCGTGAGCATTGGCTACAGTGTGGCGAGGCCAGTGGAGAGACAGTGGCTGATGATAATGACGATAACCACACATTCTCCAACTTGAACGCCACAGTCCTGAAGGGTGGGTGTCACTCACGTCGCTGCTTATTCCGCCACAACCTCCTGCTCCTCCAAAGTTAGCGGATTTCACAGGGCATGTGCCACTGTGCCTCAGCATTGCCTCTGCGTGTGCGTCACACGGCCATCGTCCTGAGCCAGCCTTTGCCGGGTTCGTGTGCCCGCAGCACCAAGCTGGTGCCGGTGGAAGGAGCCAAGTCTAACCCATCCAAGCGGCATCGTGAGCGCCTGAATGCAGAGCTGGAACGGCTGGCGGGGTTGCTGCCCTTCCAACAGGACGTCATCTCCCGGCTGGACAAGCTGTCCATCCTCCGCCTCAGTGTCAGCTTCCTTCGTGCCAAGAGCTTCTTCCACGGTAATAACTTTAAACACGCGCGTGCGCGCACACGTATATTGTTTTTTGGTGGTAAAGCGTGTTCACGCACGCAGACACAGGCATTCCAAGATGAAGACACGCACTTGCACGTCGTTTCTTCAGGGTAAAGCCCGCATACTCATGGATATTCTTGGGCGGAACGTATACACACATCACGCACGCACACGCGTGGATGTCCACGCACACATGTAAAGTCTTCCAGGCTAAAGCCTGGACACTTGTAGAACGTCTTCCAGGTTTAAGACTGTCTATACACACATGAAAGCATGGTTGCACCCATACACACTGTGTCCATTCATCCACCCAACCTGATCAGCAACATCCGCAAGCAAGAACACAATGAACAAAAAAACTAATATATCAGTTTCTGTCATAATGTAACTAAAACCTTTAACATCGTAACGTATTTCACTGACTAAAGCCCACTTTAATTAACACACATATGCTCGTGGTGTGAAATGTAGAGTTTTTATAGATACAAAGCAACACCATTCCTTGACAATGTACACATTGTAATTTTATTCGATGTTGCGCTGAAAAAAATAAGGAAAACAACTGTCGGTTTAAAACATGTTTTCTAAATGAACATTTTGGAATCAAGCACTACAATCACAAACTGCTTTTGCACATTGCCATTTTAAATCATGTCCTCTCTGGTAAGGATTTTATTTTCCATCTGATATTAATAATGAGTATCATTTAAATAACATATTAAAATAAAGATATGTTTATCCCTTAGAAATGAATCTTATTTATACAGTAATAACATTTTCTTTCTTCATGATGCAACACTGACATCTTTGTATGTGTAATATTACTTCCATTGGCCAGTTGAACAAACTTAAAATATTTCCTTTGGCAGAATTTCAATTCAACAAAAAAAACATTAAGCAGGAAAATACGCTATGTCAATGTTTGTAGGTCAACAGAGGCCTTGCTTTCGTGGGATATTAATCTGTGGCCTAGATTTAAATGACAGTTAAAACCACATTCTAAAAATTGTAAAAGGCCGAAATGGCCACACAGTAACAAAGCGTTAACCAAGTGCTTTAGATATTGATTCAAAGTGCGCATGAACTGAGTGGAAATATTGTGTGACTTCTGTGCTATAACGTGTCTAAGTTAAAGCACCCAAGCTTTCCTAGATAGTGCCTCTGCCTGTCAACCCAGCGTGTGAGAGATGCCAGAGGGATATGTACAGTCTAATGCTGTATTGCACTTTCTAAATCAGACGTATTTGACCTCTTTTTACATAAGGCCGTGCAATGTAGCATCACTTTGCATAATGGTGTTTATCTGAATATTTTTGTTGTTATATTAGGGTCATATGATATCAGGTACACGTTTGCTCATGAATTAATGCAATACACATCTGGAACAGTTTGAATTAACACTTTGTTTTGTGGGATTTGTGCCTTTATTTGGGGCGGCGGTGGGGAATAATCATCCAAGATTAAGGAATGTTACGTGTCGTATGTATAGTCATGTACTGATAGGAACCTCTTGGTTAAACCAGCCCACAGGGGATTATTGTGTCCGTCCATCGTGCAGGGAGAGGCTGGGTGGGGAGGGAGGGGCTGGGTGGGGGGGGGAGGGTGGGGCTGGGTGGGGAGGGGAGGGTGGGGAGGGGCTGGGCTGGGTGGGGAGGGTGGGGCTGGGTGGGGGTGGGAGCGGTGGGGCTGGGTGGGGAGGGGCTGGTCACCCCGTGGTGCCCTTATAAAACTCAACGTTTAACCTACTCACGCCGGCTTGTGCCCGCCCTCACAGTCGGCCATATTTGCGGAATACACCACGCCGCCGTTGACCCTGGCCATTGACCGAGCAACCCAACGTTCCTACCAGCTCCCTCCGCAGGAATGTGTTATAATAGGTGCTACGGGTGTGATGGTTGGCAGAGTGGGTTGGCAACCCCAGAGGTCGCTGGTTCGAATTCGATCTCGTAGCGCCGCGTTTGAAACAATCAAGTTATTTTTGTTTGTTTGTATCTCTTTGCCACTGTCCACCCAGCAGTGTAAATGGGTAACAACATCACAGTGGCCCAGACAGTATGAGAATCATTGCTAATTTTTTAAGGTTACATTTTTCTTATATTTTCTTCATTGTATTTGTTATTTAGTTTTTTTTTCATGTGCGCTCTTAAATATTTGTAGTTTATGCTATAGCGATAAGACAAGAAATATCGACAGTCTGTACTCTTCAGTTTCCTGGGTGAAATGGGGCTCCGGCCTTGCTCAATCCAGACCAGCTCGCTCAAGAAGCTCAATAAAGAGTTTACCGATCGGCTTAGTTCTAAGACATTTGGCCAGTGTGAAAAAGTAGGCCGAGTATCCACTTGACACTTGTAGAGGTCCTTCTGCCAGCAGTGGCATGTGCAAGACATTGCAGGGCTGAACCTATACTTTTCTAAATATATGACTTGAACCCAAGCATGTCTTCTTTGAAAGTATCCCAGGGTTATAATGCCAGAAAGGGCTTATGTGAACTACTTATTGGACATAGCTTATCTCATAACCATTAATATCAGCTGTTGAAAGCCTTGTATTTATTGCAGCCTAACGTGAAAACACTATGCAATTAATTAGGTGAAGAGTGCAATAATTACTTATTGATCTTGCGGCATACCGAATTATTATCAGCACTGTGGAATCTGCCACACTTGATATGTGTGCATGTTTTTTAAAAATGTCTTTTTACATACTACAGTACTCTACATGATACACTGCCGCTCAGATGACATGTCACAGTGCTTTCACCATTCTCTTAGTCTACATTAATGTAATAGTCCTTGCAATTACCACCAACATAATAACCCTCTCTCCAACATAATAAGCTCTTTCTTTAGCCGTAAGCCTCATTATCACATAAATACATAATCCACAACATTTTTATGAAAGCTACAAAAACATTGTCCAGAAGAATAATATTGACGGGACAAATTCTTATACTCCAATGCTTTGGTTGAACTTTACCATCTTGTGATGTTTACATCTGCCACTATACATTATTTACATTTGTGTACAATGTACACTTCAATAATAGCCATTACTTGATACATATTCAGTACAGTATTATATATTTTCACGCGAGCAATTTGACGAGGGCTGAGAATTAATATGTTTTACACATATGCCAATCTCAATTCAACACTGTAGGACACCACGTATATCATCATCATCATCATCACAGTGCTGTATGCAATGTTATGGTGCGATACTCAACAATGTATTTCCAGATGTTCACTATAATATATACGATGTATTTGTGTATGTTTATGCACCCGTGTGGGTTGCGTGTTTGCCTGTGTGCTTTGTGAGTAAATGGGAGTAACTTGAATTGTGTTAAGAGGCAGTTTATTTATAAGTCCAACAATTATATGCAAAATAATCAGCGTGATTGTGGAGATTATACAAAACAAATCCAAAAAAGCAGACTATACACGACTTCTTCCCATATATGTCCCCCTAAACAATAACACAAATCTTTTCTACACATCGCGTCAGCCACACAACATTTTGGGAGTTATTGTTTGTCAGCAGGATTGGTTTAATACAAGCATACTCACATTCACTATCTGGTCAACACACTCACAGCTTGCTTAAACAAATGCTGCTGAACTGCCAGACGATTTTTGGCCAGGACTCTCTATCTTAGATATGCGTCCTAAGTCTATGCAAAAACTACTGTGTATGTATAATGCATAACACTAAATCATAACTTGCGTCATTGTGAAGAATATATCAGTGACAAAATAAGCAGATAACATTACCTCCGTCACATGCCTGTCCATCCAATAAAAACAAGTTCAAGTGTGTTTTACATATCCCGTGAGCCATGTGGCCTTCTGGGTAGGAGTGATTGTGTAAAAAGGATGGGATGTTTAAAATATATATACTTTACGTCTAATTTGTATGCGCAGGGATAAATCTGAAAAGGAGGCTTGTATCATTTGCTATTTAAAACAAGCATCATTTTTTACGACGTTAATGAAATGAAGATTTGCCTTCAAATGCGGACTTCATTTCGCAATGTTTTCATCGACAACATCTGCGCTGCGTTAAAATAAGATTAACCTTTTGCCGTTAAAATCTCGGCAGCAGCGTTTAGAAAAGAAAAAAAACACCCCTAAAATTCTCCTAAAATGCATTGTGGCGTTGCGTCTCCCGGAATAAGTTTTGCACGATCGCACCGCTGCTACGCAGCACGCCAGGGTGGAATAAAAAAGGGTCAAGAACGATAAAGGGGGCAGAGGAGGGGGGGGGGGTGCTGAAAATCGCTTAACTGAAAGATTTATTTGGGAGGAACGGCCGGTAGCGTTTGTCTTCGTGAAGAAGGTGTGTCGACGAACAGCGTCTAAAGCACTTTGCTCCGAGACGCTTAATGCGAGACGCGTGATTCCAAATAGACCATCACATTACACTGGACTGTATAAGCCTAGTAATTATTGGTGCACGTGTGCACTGTAATGAGGTCATCGTGCTCGGTTGCTTTTTGCAAATACTGTACAGATGGGTGGCAGGAAAACTACACTGTGAGCGTGCGTGGTTTATGTAAACAACAACAAAACGGAGTTCGGTGAATGACTTTTCGGATCATCATTGTTGAGTGATATTTACTCAACAATTTGTCATCCCCATGCGGAACTCGATTAAATTGTTACACATATTTCGCAGCGGTTGTAATCAAGTCAGAAACAATTGGATGCATCCTGTATGCCAGGAACGTGTGATATAGAAGCGGTGGGTGTAAATTATGCCAGGAGTCTCGCTATAACCAGTCTGGCAGACACAAATATAAAAATAGAGATCCATCGTTTCCCCCCCCCCCTGTCCACGTAAATGTGTATTCAGATGCTTCTGAGTTCGGGTAATTTTTTGATAAAGGTCGCAGCTTAAATGTTTACAAAAATCAGTAGAGAGTGGTGGTCCAATTGAAAGCATGATGGTGTGCAATGTCACACGGGAGGGGGGGACTGGGTGATG